AAGGAAGGTAAGGTTTTCTTTACTTGCGTCTGACCTTTACTCTCCCTTTGAGTCCTCATCCTACTACTTGAGGTTAATCCCTAATCACTCATTCGAATCCTGACCTTACAGGGAAGAGCAGTGCCGGGATGCGATCACTATGTTCGTGTGCTTGCTGAAGTACATGGGAGATCAGCCATCAAGGCGAAGCCGACTTGGCACCGACCTTACCGACAGCATTTTCAAGCCTGCAATCGCTCACGTAAGTTACCACCATATGAAATTCAGCTATAAAGCTGGACCAAATGGCGCTGAGGTCATTCTAGCACTTCCCTATCACTTCCAGGAAATCTTACGCGATGAGCTCTACTGCCAACTTCTTCGCCAACTCACGATGAACCCTTCAATGCTGTCGGAAGAGAGAGGATGGGAACTGGTTTGGTTGGCAACGGGTCTGTTCTCTCCCAGTACAAGCCTTCTGAAAGAAGTAAGTGTCCGTTCTAACCTTTAGCATCAAAGGGCAGATCAATGAAGCGATGACCTAAAGGAGAAGATGTCTGTCTGATGTCTTAATCTCAAAATCTATTTATTTATTGGTTTAGTTATTTATTTATTTAAAAATTGGACTGACTCAGGTCGTACACTTTTTGAAGTCACGACATCAACCCATCGCGCACGATTGTCTCCTCCGGATAATGAAGATGAACAAGTGGGTTAAAATGGTTTTTTTTCAAAAAAATTGTGTAAGTGGATCAAACATTGCAAAAAGTGGAATCCTTTTTTTCAGAGGATATTCTCGCAAATATCCACCACATCTGGTAGAAGTGGAAGCGATTCAGCACAAAACAACGCAGATCTTCCATAAGGTACGACCATTCAATCTTTTCTCCTTTTACTTCCGGTGCTACACCCCTTTTCTCCCGGTGTCAGGGTACCGTACGGACTGTGAGCGATGGCTGATCATCTGGCCTGATGCACATTTTTCCCTCGTTGCCTTTACTTGAATTGATATTGACAAGTTCCGGGAGGAAAAGTAAAAGGAGAAGTAGACTAGTGATTGATTAGGTTCTATACTATGGGATAAGCTACGACAAACCGATGACCGTAGGTCAGCGGCCTGCGGTGTCAGGCGAGTGGGTTTCGCGTGGCCCGTTTTAGGTGCGGCGTAAGCCCAGCTGTTGCCGCTTCTCCGCTTCAACGATCAGTATAGAAAGGATTGGCGTCCGCGTCAAACCCAACCCCCTCTGCCCACCTCCTAACACTCCCGCATCGGAGAAAAAACTTTGCCTTAAAGTAGCTTCTATTTGATAACTACCGTTGCTGCAGTCCGCGCTCCGAAAGTTATCTTTTAAGAGTGCTGAGCTATGAGCAAAAGTCAGACTCCAACGGGACTCGAACTCGCGTCTCCCGCTAACCGGACGAGTGCGCTATACATCACGTGTAGCGCCGCGACCTAAAAACTCTTGTTGCACTGTTCAGCAGAACTGATTGCGGTGGATCCTCGTAGGTCACTCATTGTTGGTGGCTTTGGATAGTCGGAGTATACGAGAGTATACAAGGACCCCGGGATCAACGAATGAAGAGATAGACTACCGAGCCGTCTGGATTATCCAAGGACCCGGGGCTAACGGATGAGAATCTAGATCACCGGACCCTCCATAACATGTGTCCGCCTCAGTGGACACAGCATCTTTCTGTGTGAAATGGCGCTGTCAGTACGACTTCTCATCCCATCTCATGAGCTACTACCCCCCCCCACCTCCTTTCCAATACTACCCGCAATCTTCCCGCGTTTCCCCTGACTTTTACCCGATTTCCCAGTTCCCTAGAAATCTGAGCAGTTCTCTAAAAAGGTGCCGCAGTCGAGCAGGTGACGGAGGTCGTCGCCCGTCAACCACTAATTTCACACTGTTCCAATTTCACTATGAGGGGAAGCTGTTGGTATTTGTGCATTCTGCGGTATCGTCAGCTAGGGGGTTTGGCTAGGAGCACTCCCTTCTTTTAATTGTTGATCAAAAGTTTCCGATATTGAACACCTGATTCACTTGGTCATCATATGTCCTGAAACTTTCACCCATGCAGAGACTAGTCCCTGAAAAAGGGAACCATAGGTTGGGCTCGTGTGTCTGTTCTTATCTGCGAATCTTGTTCTTTTCAGGTCTACTTCCCGGATCAATCTGACGAAGCGATCGAAGTGGAATCATCAACAAGAGCACGTGATTTCTGTCGGCGAATAGCTCAGCGATTAGGGCTGAAGAAATCGGATGGTTTTTCGTTGTTCGTCAAAATCAAAGAAAAAGGTTCGATCAAATACTCTACCAAACCAGCCCATAGAGAGCACCCAACTCAGCTCTTGATTTTCTACCTCTTTTATTATTTCTCCTTTATTACTACTGCTTTTTCTATTGCTTCTCATATCTTCTCTATATGTTTGCTGCAATCAGCACTACTTGGCGAAGTAAAAAATTTTGGTGGAGAAGCCTGCTTCAGTGGCTGAGCGGGAAAGACGCTAGCGTAGTCGGAGTGGTCCCACTCCCCCAACTACGTGATGTTATTCTCTTCACCATCGCTCATCACTTTTCACGTTCCTCGCGGCCTGCCTTGAAGGTGAATTCTTCTTCGATTTTGTGCGGCAACTGTCCGACTGGGTACAGAACAATCATGCCCTGAAGGTGAGGCATATTTCCGTAAAGAATAACAGCAATATTCGCTCATTATAACCATTATTTTGAGAAACTTGCGCACTATATTACATAGGTTTGAAGCCGCCAAAAGTGTGAGTAGATCCTGCGATTACTTACAGGAATCAAAGTCTTATATGGGGAGAAGTGGTGTGTCCCCCAATAGTTGAGTGCGTATCAGGAATGTGGATGTTTACTCCCCAATTCGCCTGCAAAATCGACGTCGAAAGGGAGGTGCGCCAGAATCCAACTCACTCAACATACCAGCGGCGCTGCGTGTCGACCCTATCTCCCATGCCAACTCGAACTGCGATTTTGGCGCTGGTTTAGCCAAAGCTCGAACGACTCGGCGCATCATAACCTTAAGTCGCGGCTTCTCGCGCACTAGCGGAACATCTCCTAGCTATTAGGTTGTTCGGAAAGAAATGCGCGTTAAACTCGTCCATTCATTTCTCTCCTGCTGTAGAAGTTTTTTGAAACAGTTTTGTCTATTAGGAAGAGATTTTTATTGTGCATCTTTTGATATTTTTTTGTCTACGTCTACTTTGTTTTTTAAAAGAACAAGAAAACAGCAAGAAGAGAGAAGTTCCCTTCTTTCTTTCTCTTACTTCCGTGCCGTCAAGGGTGTCGAAACGTCCGTCGACAAAACTCCTCACGACTCACATGTGCGCTAAAATCAGCTTGTGGGAACAAATGATTCAGACATTGGGCTGGGAAGTCCTGCTCATCCGCCATCAACAGCCCAGACCTTGCACATCCGATTAACCATTGTTCCCTGTCGATGCCAGCACTCCCGTGCTGTGAAGAAAAGTTCACAAATCGCGAAGAAGTCCAACCCTCTGGGTGTCTAGGCATCTTTGAGCTCGCAGCCCGGCACGCAGTTCTTCGAAAGAGGAATCCATTCTTTGCATAAACGTTGGCAACAAGTCATTGATAGTAATGGAGATTATCTTTTGAATTGATCTTGTTTAATTTCGTTTTTATAATAAAAAAATTTTTAACTCAAACGCGCATTTCTTTCCGAACAACCTAGCTATTTGGTGTAAGAGATGTAGACACGCCGCAGTGCCACCACAATGATCGGAATGGGTCCTGGTGCGAATGCTGCGCACATCAAGCCTACTTGCAAGAGTTACGTGACATCTTGAACTTTTGTGCATGGTCCTGTTGCGAAACCCTGTGACGCAGACAGATAGAGGACAGCGCCTGCCAAAGCATCGAGACGTGCAAGAAACTATGGCGAGCCAGGAAACGAGCTTTTTCAAGGGGAGGGGACTCCGGGTGGGTGAGCCACTTATCATACGTGAAAAGCTGGAATGTGCGAAGTCACAATGAGCATCACGCGGACGAGAGAGAGCAGGCAAAAAAACACAAATTCGCTACGTTCAAAGAATTCGAGTTCACGTTGTCCGTAGAAAGGCCATTTACACCGTGCTTGCCGCTACTCTGCCGTTGGGATATATTCCCGTAGTGGACCATTGTTTCAGATTTGCACGGTAGGTGCGTAAAGGTACAAGATTATCCGAGTGGCTCAGGTGTTCCGTCCCCGTTGTTACGTCGTCTTGCTCGTTTCGTCGCTCTGACTCACCCTTCCCGTTGTCCAATGCTATTCGCAGTATGCGCAAAAATGTCCAACGGAATCGGCCCCCGTCTGGAATGTACTTAAGTGACCGGAACTCTCACCTGGAAGTTGTCCATGTGATCCAAAGTCTGTCTTTACTATCAGGAGTAGCTTGTCTTCCTGAGCACGAATACCTCACATTTGCTCGGCGCAAAGGCGCGTGGAACTTGTACCATAGGAGGTTACAGGGGTTCTGTTAAGCGGACATGCTCTCGCTGCGAGAAACCAGGTCTTTTTTTCATCGCATCTACAGCCACAGTTAATGCAGGCGGAGTGAAGGAGGGCAGAAAGAGAAGAAAGGAAGGCAAAATGAGGGAGAGGGTAGGAAAAAGGAAGGAGGAGGAAGGCTCCGTGGCTAACCTAACAAGTATCGAACGCTACCATAGGTGGCACCCGGCGGAAAAAACATCTCAGAGTTGTACCATTACTTCAAGCAGCGGAGACGGTCAGGACAGGTTGTAATTCTGTGTTTTCGCAGCGTGCATTAGCTTGCCGGCTGAAGCTACCTGAAGACTAAAGAATCCTGCACATTTGGTGTGCACGATACAAATTTCGCATTTAAAATGACAACTTGAACCGAATTTCCGCGCTCTTCGGCTTGGTGGGGATTTTGTTTGTTCCCATCGATCACTGCCGATGCTTCCTGTGGAGAACTGTTAACTCTTGTAATGTTATGCAATAGCACAAGCTTCGTTTACGCTTGACGAGAATCTACAAGTCTCACCAAGGTGAAACATGCAACAAGAGAGACTAACAACAGAAGCTACCGAAAGTTCAAACGCCCCTTCTGAGCTGAACACCGCTCAGGTTTTCAACCAGATCAAGATCTTGTACCAAACTTGGGAAGCGTTATGAGAGGGAAAATAGTGCAAAAGTAATCTTTTAGTGTTCTGATAGCTCTATTCCAGGAGAACTCGATAATTCCCGTTAATTATCAAGTGTTCTTCATGCGAAAATTGTGGATGAATGTTAAACCTGGGGAAGATCGAAACGCTGATTTGATATTCCATTACCAGCAGGTAAAGTAAACTCACTAGTCTAGGTTTAGTTTCTGTCAATGCTTAGCCTGAATAGAACTTTTTTGAGATGGCCAGTAATTATCCTCTCACAACAGAATAG